CACACACACACACACACACACACACACACACACACAATCATTGACCAGCACAGGACTGTTGGGGAGGCCCCACAAGGGCCAGTGAGTCCTTGGGGTTGGAGTCTTATGGACAGAAGATGACATTGAATACAGCCCACTGCCCCCATCTCTCTCTCTCTCTCTCTCTCTCTCTCTCTCTCTCTCTCTCTCTCACACACACACACACACACACACAAAATCATTGACCAGCACAGGACTGTTGGGGAGGTCCCACGTGGTCGCATGGCTCCCCCTGTGCTCGCCTCCCCCACCATGTATCTAGACCTGTGCCCAGGTCTCAGGCCTGTCCCGACTGCTGCGCTGCTCTCCTCAGCTGACCTGCCTTTTCCCGCAGGAAGCCGGCGAGCTCTACGGCCGCATGCTGAAGCGTTTCCGCCTGGAGAAAGCTGTGTGGATCAAGTACGGCTCCTTCATCCTGCGGAGGGGCCAGGCGGGCTCCAGTCACCGCGTGCTGCAGCGGGCCCTGGAGTGCCTTCCTCAGAAGGAGCGTAAGTGCTGGTGCCCGCCAGCCGCCTGGGTTCTGGCGGGTGGCAGCTGTTCTTAGCTCTGGGAATAGGGACTGGGTGGTGGTATCCGTCAGGACAGCCTTGTTAGGCGCCTAGTTATGTCTGCAGGTGTAAGAAGGTGTGCTGCATTGCAGAGGCCAGAAGTGCACAGGAGGGAGGACCCCTCTGCCCCTTCTTCGGGGCCCAGTGGGTAGGATGTCTGGTGGGAGTCTTAGGTCTGTGCCAGCTGTGTACTCTCCTTTGGCCCTAAATCTACCACCGCAGTCCTGTTCCGCCTTTGTTCCAAGAGCAGGGAGTCTGACGTACCCTTCCCCTGCAGCCCTGTGTGTGTGGGGAGGGTGACTGCTTGTTGTGACTCGAGTTTCTGAGCCTCCCTCTCCCTGCAGATGTGGATGTGATCACCAAGTTTGCCCAGCTTGAATTCCAGCTGGGGGATGCGGAGCGGGCCAAGGCCATTTTCGAGAACACACTGAGCACCTACCCCAAGCGCACGGATGTGTGGTCCGTGTACATCGACATGACCATCAAGCACGGCAGCCAGAAGGAAGTGCGGTGAGCAGGGAGGAGGGTGCCGTCCAGAGCAGCGCCCGGGAGCTCTGCTGCTCGTGCTCGTCTAGAAAATAGCATGTGGGTCTGTGGCGGTCAGTCTGCCGGCCTCCAGGCCGCCTCAGCCTGGACTGTGTCTGGAGCCGTGGGCGGGAAGGAGCCGGGCCCCTGGAGACTTGAGCTTCGTCATAATTAGCACTGTGCCTGGCTCCTCTCTCCAGGAGCCTCCCACCCAGCATCTCACATCGTCCCCTGCGTCTCACAAGGCAGGGAGGCTTGTGACGGTAGATGGAGGTCCAGAAAAGGTGCCCTGGGGGCCCCGGGAGGGCTTAAAGCAGCCCCAACCCATTGTGTGTGCTCTGTGCTGAGTTACTGTGTGACTGGAGACACCTCAGGAGTATCTGTCTGCTCATCCAGGAAACAAGGGAGGTGTTTACCTCTTTCGTCCCCAGGGCATCTCAGGAGCCCACACTAGTCCAGAAAAGAAAGAGCATGGGCATGCTGGGTGCTAAAGGGCCCTGGATTCAGAGCCGAGTCCAGGATTGGGTGCTAGCCTGGGGACCTGTGGCCTGTGACCGGGGCACTCACACTGGCCTGCTTTTCTTCACAGGGACATCTTTGAGCGGGTCATTCACCTGAGCATGGCCCCCAAGCGAATGAAGTTCTTCTTCAAGCGCTACCTGGACTATGAGAAGCAGCATGGCACGGAGAAGGACGTGCAGGCCGTGAAGGCCAAGGCCCTGGAGTATGTGGAGGCCAAGAGCTCTGTGCTGGAGGACTAACTGCCAGGGGCCCGAGGGACACTGCCAGAAGCTGCCCAGCCCTGCTGGGCCTCTGGGGCCTGGGCTGGGGAGAAACTGTTGCCTCAGGGCTGTATTTAAGTGCTGCTTTTTTTTTTGGTACTCTTGAGTCATCCTGTCAGGGTGTAAAAAGAGTGCAGGGGTTTCTTTTACTTTTGTCTTGAGTAGCAGTTTATTGCACCTTTTCTCTTCTCTGAGGCTGCTCAATGGCTGCCAGCAGACGGGCTCCAGGAGTCCAGGGGGCAGGCCTGCTTTCTTGCCCTCCGCTGGTACCTACATTTCTCCTTGGAATCTCAGCTCAGCTGGTACTGAGAACCCTTTTGTGGGGCCGCTGGGGCTGGGAAGATGGGGTGCCCGAGTGGCTGAGAAGCCCACCCAATGGCTCAGCCCAGGCCCACCTTGGCTATATGACCTAGCTTTTCCAGTAAATTCTCCCAACAGTGTCTTCCTTTGTTAAAAAATACTCCCGTAAGGTTACTGTGTGGCATGTACGGCTCACAGGAGTCGCTGACCAAGGTC